TTATTTTTAAAAGACATTTCATCGATAGACCTCCGCTGAGTATCTATGCAATGCATGTACTAAATCATCCGCAATACTATTGAACAAATGTAAAAAAAATGATATTTTTAAAATAAACTTAATCTAAATATGAATAATACAAAGCTTTAGTATAAAGCCATATTTGTAACTTGTACAGTTTAAGCAAAATTGAAAGACATGTAACCCTAGGTTAAAAAAGGAAGATGGTTGGTGAAAAATAAAAATAATTTAAAAAGAACTTGGATATGAATTAAGCAAACGGAAGGGTGTCCATATATCAGCTGTCAGGTCTGTGCGTTTGATAATGTCCCCCTCATCATTACCTGCACGTGGCCACGGCACGGCTGCTCTTATTATGACAAAATAGTGTCTGAAGTTCCTGCTTAATCCTCAGCTCTTCGTCCTTCATTTTTTCAAAGGAAGCCTGCAGGCTAGAATTGGCCTCGCTGACTCCGGGCTGACAGTGAGTAAGTTTCTCTCTCCTCAGTTTACTTTTATCTCTGAGATCATACTTTGAGTGGGTCAAGATCAATGGTGCTCTCTACAAATCTGCTGAGAGGGAGGGTGATTCTAATTGACCTTACAACCGGTAACCCTACTTTGCTACTCAGCCAGCTCACTGGGGATTCTGCTTCTCTCGCTGCTGCACTGAAAGTTCTTCTGGCATAGTTGAGAGGAAAATTTCAAATGCTTTTAGGTTTCTTGTAGCGCTGTGTAGTTCCAGCAGAAGTCTGTGACTTAAAGGGCAGGCTAATGTCAAAGCTGTTCTCTTACGGTTTTGGTTTGTTTCTGAATTTGTTTCCCTCAGTGGCCTTCAGCAGGAATAACCTACTCCATTTGAACTCAAGATCCCACAACTCCTCAGCATGGCTACTGTGAAGACACTTCTGGCCAAAGCTATTGTGTGTTATCTGAGAGAGCAGAGTCATCCAGGACCTCACTCAAGAGCCCATTGGTGACATCACTGCTCAACACAATGACTGTCACAATTAAATCACTGTCCACCCAGTTAGACCAGTGAATGAATGGACCAAACCTGGGGATATTTTACAATGCACATGATGCATTTATGTAACTTTCAGTGATGCAGTCAAAGTTGGCAGAAAGGTTATAAATGATATTAGAAAAACACTCAGACTATCTTTGTGGCTCTAATTATAATTTCACAGACTCATCTATTTTCCAAACCACAAATTCGGCGGCTGTGAATTTATTTCACAAAATAGATACATTTTAGAAAAAGATTAATGTGCAGTCATTTAGAACCGACAGTACAGAAAAGTGTACTGAAGTAGTTTTGGTGAAATTCTGATTAACTCACATGTGGGATGGATTTATCAAGCTTTTTGCAGCAGTGAAAAAAACACCAGTTTTTGTTTTCCACTGGGTAAAAAAACATCAAGGAAATGGAAAAAGTAGAGTTTTATTACGGACACCTGCTGTGTAATCCTTCAATTGTGATGGGTGTAAATTTGCATAAAAAAACAAACATTTGATTAATGGGGAATGTAATCGACTCCATCCTAACAAACCGCATACAGTTTTATAAAATGAACTGCATGTAGAGAATAATTTTCTCGAACTGCATACAGTTTTATAAAATGAACTGCATATAGAGAATGATTTTCTCAGGCTAAAATAAAACCAGGGAGTGTAAAATGTGAAGGAATTCACGTGTCTGAGACTAGCAAAAAAATGACACAGGAAAGAACAGGGTATGACAGAATGATAGATTACACACTCCATTCATTGATTAGACTGAATTCAAACACCACTGTTCCACAGTGACACAAATCAATCCTGGCCATAAAATGAAATCAATCCAGTGCAAATTGACTGACCCAGGAAAGACTGTGTTCATAGTGAATGAACAGCTATCTTATCAGCACTATGACCTTCAAGGGGGGGGGGGGGGGGGGTGGAGTCAGCTTAATTAATGTCACAAATTTACCTATACTTATTAATGTAAAGAATTTTGTCACGTATACCTCGGCAACAAAATAAAAGATATTTGTATTCTAGCACAGTCAAAAAGGTGAGCACACTTGTCTCTTAAATGCCTACTAGAAATCAAATGCAGTGCAATGTGTCTTGTTGAATTGATTGCTTGATTTACATGAACTATTTGCTAGTATTTCACAGAATGCTTGAAGAGGAGACATAAGAACTGTCAGAATCGGAGTTGTGCTCTATGAGACTGAAGATGCCTTCATTTGAATCTTCAAAAAAAAATACTTTGTCTACACTTCAGAGCTCAGTGACTACCAAGAAGTAATTTCCTGGTTGTTCAGGTGACAGAACACCAACAGATATACCAATTTTACTAACATTTAGTGAGAACTGAGATTTTATTTCTGCATGTTAGACTTTGATGGAGGGATGCATGGCATTTGCGCATAAACCATACAGTATGTTTTCCCAACATGACTCAAAGGACTGGAGAGATTCAGAGCATGACCGGAAAGCAGACACATCCCTGCTCCCTGCACATCACGTAGCATGACCGGAAAGCAGACACATCCCTGCTCCCTGCACGTCACGTAGCATGACCGTAAAGCAGACACATCCCTGCTCCCTGCACATCACGTAGCATGACCAGAAAGCAGACACATCCCTGCTCCCTGCACGTCACGTACACCCCATTTCCAAAAAAGGTGGAATGCTGTGTAAAATGTAAATAAAAACAGAATGAAATGATTTACAATTAATTTACACCGTAATAGAAAATAGAACAAAGACAACATATGAAATGCTGAAACTTAGAAATGTTGTTTTCTGACAAATATATGCTCAATTCGATTTTGACTGTGTGGCATCACCTATTCTTTTAACAACACTGTAAACATTTCTGACAATTGGCACTCCAGACACCAGAAAAACCCCAGACTGTTCCATTCCATTCGGACTCGTGTGGTGCTGAGGTATCATTACGCCATACGGCTGCACCCGGCTTCTCATCCCTGAGGCGGTTTGTCGGATGGTGCGTGCGGCAACACGCTGTAATCAGCGCATGCTCCTTACCTCTCTCTCTCTAACGTTTGGGGACTGAGGAGACAAGTTGCTGGAGTATTCAAAGTGAAATGTTGTTCCATCTTTGTCTGAAGTTACAGGATTTTATCTACTCAGCAGTTTGGGGTCACCTTTGTCATATTTTTGGTTTCATGATGCGCCAAATGTTTTCAATGGGTGACAGGTGGGATTCCAGGCAGGTCACTCTAGCAGCTGGACTCTGGCATTGTCCTGATTAAATACACATTCCCTGGAAGAGACGTTGTCTGGATGGCAGCACATGTGGCCCCAAACCTGTATATATGATTCAGCATTAATGGTGCCTTCCCAGATGTGCCAGCTACCCAAGCTATGGGGACTAACACACCCCCATACCATCATGCTGGCTTTGGAACTGTCTGCTGATAACAAGATGGATGGTCCCTCTCCTCTTTAGCCTGGAGGATGCAGCGTCCATGATTTCCAAAAAGAATCTGAAATTATGATTCGTCAGGACAGGACAGTTTTCCTTTTTCCCTCAGTCCATCTTAGATGAGCTCAGGCCCAGAGAAGTCAGTGGTGTTTCAGGATCATGTTTAGATATAGTTTCTTCATTGCATGTTAGAGTTTCCTCCTGCGTTTGTGGCTGCAGTGATGAACTGTATTCACAGAGAGTGGTTGTTATGAGCCCATGCAGTGATTTCCACTATAGAATCATGTCTGTTTTAATGCAGTGCTGCCGGAGGACCTAAAGATCACAGCTATCCGATTTCATTTTTCAGCCTTGTCCCTTGCACACAGAGATTTCTCTGGATTCTCCAAATATGATGTACCATAGATGATAAAATTCCCAAATTATTTGCAGTACTACATTGAGGAACATTATTCTTAAATTGTTGCATTTGCCCATGCAGTCTTTCACAGAGAGGTGGACCTCTCCCCATCTTCACTGCACAGAGCGGTGAACCAATCCCCATCTTCACTGCACAGAGAGGTGGACCTCTCCCCATCTTCACTGCACAGAGCGGTGAACCTCTCCCCATCTTCACTGCACAGAGTGGTGAACCTCTCCCCATCTTCACTGCACAGAGTGGTGAACCTCTCCCCATCTTCACTGCACAGAGAGGTGGACCTCTCACCATCTTCACTGCACAGAGATTCTTCCTCTCTGGGAGCCTCTTTTTATATCCAGTCATCTTACTGGCCTTTTGCCAATTAACCCAAATAGTTGTGAGATATTCAGCCAGGTATTTTGTCTTAGTGTTACTAAACTTTTCCAGTCTTTTGTTGCCCGTCTGAACTTTTTTGAAACGTGTTGCTGCATCAAATTCAAATAGAGCATATATTTGTCATACAACAATACAATTTTTAAATGTTGTTTTGCTCTACTTTCAATTAAATATGGGTTTAAATTATTTGCAAATCATTACATTCTGATTTATTTACATACTACATAGCGTCCAAACTTTTTTGGAAAGGGGGTTGTACAAGAGGACAGAAGCCACCCCCTTCAGCGGCCCCGGGGGGATACCTCAGGGAGCTGTGTCATCAAGGTGCAGGCTTGACCTGGAGCGTCGAACAGTGTGCTCGTTTCCAATATAAAACGTCAACACGCGGAGGCATGGATGGATGAAAAAGCTACATCCCACCTCCCTAAGCACATATAAAAAAAAAGGAGCTGGGTATGCCGATGCAAGAGGCGATTAACAGGGAGAAAATGCCACACTGTCTGGATGTAGTGCCCAAACACCCAGGTGACAATAAACTGAAAGATGGGGAACGCGAAGGAAATAACGATACCTTGCTGTGTTGGGTTCTTAATTAATCTACATTTATACGAATGCATTATTCTAGTAGTGTATATGCCCCCCTTACGCGGTGATCAGACACTACGCACAACCATGCATACCACTGACCAGCGGTTCTCACTGTATGAATTATCTTTCACTCGATTGGACGTCTTGGAACATGTGACCTCGTGTCATGCGGAAGCGACCGTACCGACAACATGGCGGCGTCCTTGAAGCACACGGTTTGCCTTCGGTAGGCAGCCAGAGACAGGCAAAAGTCATGGATAATGCGAGGCTGAATGCGAATCAAAGTGTAATTCCCGTTAATACCATGGAAAGAAGAGAATTTACTGCTTCGCTCGTGGTAATTTTCCTTTCGTTAGTAGTTTATTTGTGTGAATGTATGTTTATCAGCATTGTATCCCATGTGTATGTATTTGAGTAACTTTGCATAAATGTTTATAAACCAGCAGTTATTGACAGTGGTCCTCTGTACGATTTATTTTTAAAGCTCCATATCAAATCACGAGTTAGATAGCCAGAGAGGTTTTTCAGTGACACAGTATGGTTCATTTGGGAAAAAAGCAGAAATTGTTCAATTAAAAATGGCGTTAATATATTTCAAATAATTTCACCTTTTACAGAGATTACGCTTTGCAAATCATGTCACTTCTCAAGGGGACACCGCGTTGTAGGTTAATGGGTTACCCTATCAAACAGGTTTCCTAAACATTCAAATTGTTGCAAGCATAGTGGCTGGGATAGTGTTCACATACATATTTGGGTAACACTTTACGTGATGGGGCACTAATAATAGTTTTATACTATTACTTGTATATTAATATACCACAAACTAAGTCTCAGCTACATACTGATTGCATGTTAATTAATAATTAATGAGCCGTGACGCATGATTTATCTTAGGCATTACTATATGTGATGGTTACTTTGTTACTATATGGGTAAATTCTACAAACCTTTGTCAACTACTGAAGGAACAAGTCACGAATAACACGTTAGATACTAATCTCGTATTTGTTTATTAATGCGAGATTTTCAATTCGAGACAAGTCTGCAATTCGAGACAAGTCTGCAAACACATACACACGGATTTACATATATGTAAGAGTTTTATTACCTCGTCAATAGTCTGTAGGATTTGCAAAATACCCCGACGCTTTTGATGTAGCTCATTTTAGGTTTATAATGGAATATTATAATTTCCGTAAGATTGCTCGCGTTAGTCTGAAAGCGTGAGTGTCAGAGTTGCCAGCCGTGAAAACGTACGGTTTTTTGTTTCACCTGAGTTGATTTGTTGTTAAATAACGTAAACTTTGACGAACATGAAATCACCACTCGTAGGAACATCACGGCTTTTCGGTTCAGGCTGTTAGTTTCGCTGCTGGCTCATTACAGCTCCTGATGGCTAACGAAAGGGCTGCAAACCCCGAAGTGCGTCTCGCTTGGGGGTTAAAAGAGTTTGCTGGTCATTGGTGTGGGAAAGGGGCGCTTTTAGTGTTAACTGGGCAGTTGTGCCTTTTACCACACAGCGGCACGTATATATGCTGATTTGGCGAATATACCGTACTTTTTAATTTGCTCATATACATGTGTGGAACTGGGTTATTTTTGTTTAATGTGTGCAATGACACAAAATCTGTTTATTTTGAATTTGTTAATTTGCTGTCAGGACGTGGCGTCAGAGTGATCGATAGAAAATTCACACAACAGCTAAACCGGTTACATATACTACACGTACAAAGCTTGGCCAAGCCAGTTGGACTTAATTACAGTATGGATTGTAATGTGAATAAGATAAATCATCAAAAGAAATCCAAAATACGAAAATAAAAATGTAGTTTCTTATCAGTTTTGTCTGTCCTGCTTAACCTTTCCATTCCACTAGATTGTATGTGAGATTGTACATAACAGCCGCTCATTATAATGATGCATTACGTTTTAAGCTTAAAAAACAGAACTGACAGTACTCTCAAATTTTTGTCTGTGCTTATAAATTTAATTTAGGGGCACAAGTGCTCCTTGGAAAGAAAATCCCAAGCAGTTACTATATGTTATAATATCTATTACCTCTGTAAACATCTGCAAAGTACTGAAGGAACAAGTCATGAATAACACAAGTAACTTAAGTAAGTTGAATACTGATCTCATGTTTGTTCACCATTAATGAGTCGTAACGCATCTTTTATCTCAAGTACGTAGAAACTATATTTGTTCATGTTCATAATTTGTACTTGAGTAGTGAGTTATTACTATTGCTGTTAAGTATTTGTGCCCCGCCAAGTAAAGTGTGACCAGCATTTGTACTGAGCCTGTCAGAGAAGTTCCGTGACCCCCGGAAATTCGACCGTCTCCCTCAGGATTCTTGGTATCAAGATTGTTATTCATGAAAACCGGCAAAAAAAAAATAAGCTAGAGATTAAACAAAGCTATTTATTTAAAACTCTATTGAATCCAAAATACCCCTGTTGCAATAGTTTATATGTATATTTTTATTTTAAAATCTCGACAGGATTATTGGTAATAAAGGCCATCTTTACAATTGGTTTTAAAATGCGTCTTGGGCGATCGGATTACAAGTAGACAGCTGAGACACATCGCTGTTTGCACCAGCGCCTGTCACACGTCTCCAGGGTGTCCGTGTCCAGCTCACCACTTGTGTTCAGATTTCGTTACTGCACTGTTATTGTGAATTCCTTGTGGGGGATTAACCAAGACACATTCGCGTTTAAACTACAGAAGACCTGTAGTCAAATGCGTCCCAGACCACCTCGATGAGTGGTTTGAGTGATCCTACAACAGTGCGTCTTGTTGGTAGTTTACACTTGTATTTAACACTGTCCACTTGTGATCCGATCATTAAAGACGCATTTTAAAACCAAACGTAACGGGACCACAAAGAAGTTATCCTCATGTAGGAACAGGTAGTTATTAGATGGTTTGTATGTGATTTCTTCAAAACCTTGTAAAGAGTGTTTAGTGAAATTCTTCTTTAAAGGACATTAACGGTGTGGTGGGAATTCTGAATATTTTTAACTCCAATTCCGGCCCCCGAATATAGGCCAGGACTGATAGCGTGATGGTAAGGTGAAGTAGGATAGGCCGGGACTGATAGCGTGATCGTAAGGTGACGTAGGATAGGCC